CAACGGAAACGGGAGCCGAAGCAAGACATCCGGTGGTAGGGTTGGTTTCGCTTGCGTTTGCGTTGACGCTTGGGCTCATAACCTGTTGACAAAGTTGACAGGTATGGGCCCACACCTCAACGCACACGGAAGCCGAACCAAATTGCCCAGATCGCAGGTCTGTTGATCATTCGTCACCTCGTCAGTCAGTCGACAAGCTTCGAACATTCAGACGCATTGAAACCTCCTACGGCCATCATCAGCTATCAATTGCACGATCATTTCACACAGCATTTTCCTGCGATGATCAAGGTTGGATTGCAGTGTTTAGGGCTTGAGAGGTTTACGAGCCCAGACGAAGTAGTTGCACTGAGTCGCTGGAAGGGCGCTTTCTGGTGCTGCCAGACTCCAGGTACCTTTCCAAGGGAGATAGGCGGTTCCCCTCACCTCGAAGTGCATTCGTTGTGGCAACTTGGACCCCTTTGCGAACCACTTGAGATCGTTCTGAACGAAACGCTTGAGTTCGTCCGGGTTGATGTACTGGCTGTGTGTGTGCGTGCCGGGGGTGACGAGGCGCAGCACGTCTTCGGCCATAAAGATGGTGAGGAACCACGAGAGCGGTGTGCGCGCAATGGTCGACATGAACAAATGTCCACCGGGCTTGAGCAGGCGATCGAGCGAGCGCATAAAGTCCGCAGGACCATTGACGTGTTCCAGCACCTCCATCGCACAAACCACGTCGAACTGTCGTCCTTCCGCAACGAGCTGCTCCGCGGTCGTATGGAGATAGGTGAGCGAGGATCCACCTAGCGAGTGGGGGCGAGAGAGGAGTGGGTCTCGAGAGGCATGTGTTGTAGCAATACCGATGTTGCTCGCACTCGCATCCACGCCCGTTGTACGTGCTCCCAGCCGGGCTAGCGACTCGCTGAGCAAACCACCGCCGCACCCAATGTCCGCAACATCCAGTCCCGACAGAAACCGCGTCTTGCCCAGATTCGAAAGCGGATTCCGTGCCGATGACGACGAAGTAGGCACCGAGGAGATGGCCGGTGCGACTTGTTGAAGCGCACGCTCGTAGCCCCATACCTCGTCGAGCTTCTCGCGCATGAACTGGATGCGCGCCGGATTCATGGCGTGCAGCAGACCAAACTCGCCATGCTCGTCCCACCACTGCGACGAGAGCCGGCTAAAGTGCTCGATCTCGGATGCGTGCACCGACGACGGCCCCGCCTCCCTCCCATCTCCCGACCGCGCTGGCGAGTCGAGTCGCACCTTGGACGTCGACGCAAACGATCGAACTGCTGCCCTACACGGCCTGAATCGCAAAAAGCAGAAGGCATCTCAGCGCACAGTTCACGCACCGCAGGGGGGAAAGAGGGGCCTGAGACTCACTGGCAGACCTGGGCTCGTGCGCGCGCGAGCGAGCGAACGCTCGTGTTGCCTAGCATGTTTTGCAGCCAAAAGCTATTCTCAAAAGGTGGTAGAAAAGTACAAAAGAAGAGACACACGGGGGAACAAGCCAAAAGAGCTACGAGACGCGGGGCGACAAGCAAAGGGATGAGAACGTCGGTGGTCAGCATCGGCTTTTGCCTTTTTTTGCGCGGACTGCAACGCGGAACTGAGGCTCGGTGCTCGGGCGGGGTGCGGTATCAGAGTAAGGGAGGATAATAGCGTAAAGGCCTCCACTGCTATCGGTGTTGTCGGCAAGGATATTGCTTTCTTACGACTGGTGCCAGGCAGAATCCAATCATCATTCGAGTGTGCACCGAGCCGTTGCGATCGTGCAGTAGCAAGAGGGAACTTACCTTTGGTCGGGAATGGTTGTGGTCGGAAGGGGAGGTGGATGCGGCTCGAGCCACGCTGATCAAGCGCACGATTTCTTCGCGCCGTCTGTCTGATCCGCAGCGAGAAAAAAAAAAGGCTGCGGTCAGCGAGGCTTTGTTGCGCCTCTCGCGCGAGTGGACGAGCCTCCACTAAGCTGCCTTCGACGCTGGACCCTGAGTGCTGCAGCTTGCTTCTCCTCACCTCCTTCAAGCATCGACTCGCTGCATACTGCTGCGGAAGAACGGAGCATGGGGATGAGTTCCCTCTTCGGCAGCTGCTTTGGTCGGCGAAGCGGGTCGGCGCCCTTGCACGAGACCGACTCGGACTCTCCTGCTGGCCGCCGCGCAGTCGACAGCGTCAATCCCGCCAAGTGCGCCTTTTGCAACGTCACGCCGGACCGCTTCAAGATCATCCTCGAAGACGCTGAGCTGATCTGCTTTCGCGATCGCTCGCCAGCCGCAGCAGTCCACCTGCAAGTCATCCCACGCATGCACATCGCCAATGTCCAGAGCCTCGGCCCGCACGACACCGACCTCGTCCGCCGAATGCACGCCTTTGGCACCAAGGCACTCGACCTCCTGCAGTGCCAGAACGGCGGCCTCGACGCAGCGTCACAGCCATCGACGGCGGCAGAGCGTAGATTCGGCTTTCACATTCCGCCGTTCCGAAGCGTCGACCATCTGCACATGCACTGCCTCCAACTGCCGTTTAGCAACTCGCTGCGTGCTCTCAAGTACAGAGTGGCAAAGCCTCCCAGCCCCAGCTACTTCAAGGGCTGGTCCTGGTTTGCAGAATACGAGCAGACGTGTGCGCTCCTCGGTGCAGGCCGCAAGGTGAGTGTCTCTAGCTGCTAGCTCAGATAGAAGGCCAGCCACTCTGCCTCCTCTTCATCCCCATAGATCGCTGTTGTATCTCGACATATACCCATCGCCACCAGTTGCTTGCTGATGTTCATGACTGTCCAGCTGTCACAAGCACTTTGGAAGGGCAATCGCGTACGAATTGTTGCGTTCTCCTATTCCTGCATCTTTTTCGGCCACAAAAAGTTGATCCTTTTCACGCGTACCGGGGGCAAAAAGGGAATGCCTCCTAGCCGACTCGAACGACTGAC